CTCCCTTCAGGACATGGATGTTCATGGCTCTCAACAACGTTCTCTCTTTTTGTAGCTCTTAGAAAGATTTAATTTTGTTCTGCAAGTCGTTTGCACAAGCGTGTTAGGAAGGTTACTCGCTGTTTCCCTCTGCTCCTTCAGACCATGTCTCTCCACAGCATCCTATCCATTGTAGCTATTACAAGTGTTTGTCTTTTTACTATCTCTAACAGTTTCTGTTCTGCCATCCATTTACACAAAATCGTTAAATAGCTTACTCGCTGTTTCCCTCCCTTCCGCTTACCTTTATTATGTCTTGTAAGTGTCAAATTCTCCAAACCTTCTTTCTTCGTTATTTATCCTAGGAAGTTCAATTGTTTCTTTCTGATTCTAAATATAAGCGTTCATTTTGCTTCCATTTTCCTTAAAATTTGCGCGTTAGTCATATGTTTAGTCCAAAATATTCTCAGCATCATTCTGTGGAAGAAAAGTTGTTATATTGTGATAATCATTGGTTTCTTGTCTAGAAGACTTCTTCCTTCACACAACCAAATATTCACCTACAAAAGACCCTCTTGGCCGCTTGGTGGCTCTGTCTTGTCGTACTCCGTTACATACTCTCTTGTGCAAATTAATTGAAACAAAATGAATAATTCCATTATTATTTACTTTTTTCGCGTATTTTTCCAATGAAACATGACCCAGTGCACATGTTAGTACTTCGTATGTCTATTCCATGAAGTCGTTCCTTGCAGATTGACCACAAATTCTCGATTGACAATTTCCGGGCCAGTCTATAGCCCTTTGTTTTGCTCACTGGCAGGGATTGCCAGTGTGTTCGTGCGACGTTACAATTTTCGTATGATTCCTTCAAGTAACGTCCATCGCAGACAATGACCGTAAGACAACTAATCGACATTCGAGACAATAGTGTTTGGGTGTTGTAAAATTCTGATGTAATCACAGATGACATAATATTTTTCAAGACCAAACAAAAATTCATCATACACCCCGAAAATAGATTCATATTACTACACACCACTGGAAATGACCTAATCCGAGGTAAAAATAGAAATCGATTACACCCTGTCACTCCAGTCGGTCTAAAACTGACCGTATGGTGAAAGAAAGGAAGCTAAAGCAGCTGCTTCAATTAATGTGCACATTCCGTTTTCTTAAGGTTAATGTTCAGTCCTTTCTTCTTGTTTGCATCGGTTCACTTGGCTAACACTTCTTTCAATTTTCTTACTGAATCTGTGCCGATGGCACAGATTCATCGGCGTATAATGTGTTCATATATCTGCTGAAAATAAATTCTGGTATGCCTTTTCGTTCTCTCATTTTCTTTTAATCATTCACCCCAAGTAAGATGCAAGAGGCCACTGGGAGTGAAAGATAATGAAAAGGCTTTAGAAGAAATCAGAAACCCAATCTTAAACAGGAAACAAGAGATTAATCTATACGTCTGTTCAAAAGACAGAGGAGGAGTGTAAACCGGACGATAGACGAACCTATCTACTCCTATTGAGAATAAAATAAAATAAAAATAAATATTAAATAAAATTTCAGAGTCTAGAGCAGAAACGTTAGAAGTATAGAGTTGAAGTAGACTATAGAAGGAACTGTAAACCCAATCCTAAACAGTAAAACAAGACATAGCAATCTACTTCTTTTCAAAAGGCCAGGAAGGAACGTGAACTGGGCGATAGCATCGTCTCGCTGTACAATTTTTAAATAAATTCGCTAAAAAAGATATACTAACCTTACTGCTCTTTTTATTTTTAGGTATTCAGATAATCCTTTTTTTATAGTGCTGCTTAAGAAGCCAATTGCAAATGAATGCGAGTTCCACTGGATAATCAGGATAATGAAACACATAAAGAAACTTATCATCCTAATTCGAATGAAAGGAGCACGTACAGATTTAGACCAGAGATAAGACTAGAACAGTGTAGTTTCGGTAAAGACACTGGAATATTGTTAGTTGACTTTGTTTGTCGCCATATCAGCCTCTATGGGTTATTAAATGCTGAAATCTAAATATTTTGAACGCAACTGTATGCTTTCAGCTAAGAATAAAATTTATTGTGTTTTAAATTGTATTGTTGGTAATTTTAACGATAAATAGGTATTGTTGGTAATTTTTATTATTAATAGACACCGTTGGTAAGTTTTTTGAATATAAAAATGTATTACTGGTATTTTTATTATAAAAATGTATCTTTATACTTTCATAGTGTTTTTTTTTTTGTTTGGTAGTTCACAATTTGCCCAGAACTAGGACCTTAACAGGTGCTACCACCCCGGGTTCGAGTGAACCTGGAAACAACAGCAATTAAGAGGTGGTTCCACACTCCTCAAAAACTTTAATCTCTGGATCAGAAGAATTGCAGCACGATGTAGTTTATCATCATACCGAGGACTAACACTGGAACAAGGAATTCAATATAAGAAAGAATAATACAAATGCACAGGGATGTATAGCCATTTTTTATAGATTATGCAAATGTGTTTGATAAAGTACGTCGGAAAGAACTATTCGAATTGTTAGGGACGCTTGATTGGGGAAAATATTAGAATAAACCGCAACTTATACTGGGAGTAAACTGCCTGAAAATTGTTGGGGAGTGAATTCAGTAAATATTCAAAAATAAAAAGATGCGTAAGACAAGAATTGTGTTGCCACAATTATAAGAACATAAAATTTTAAGAATATAATTTTAAGAACATAAAATAAAATAAATAAAATAAAATAAATAAAACAAAATAAATAAAAATTAATAAAATAAAATAAAATTTTAAGAATAGAATTTTAAGAATATAAAATAAAATAAAATAAATAAAATAAAAAATAAATGAGATAAAATAAATAAAAATAAATAAAATAAAATAAATAAAAAATAAAATAAAATTTTAAGAATATAATTTTAAGAACATAAAATAAAAAAGAAATAAAATAAAAATAAACAAAATAAAATTAAATAAATAAAAAAAAATAGAATAAAATAAATAGAATAAAATAAAATTTTAAGAATACAATTATAAGAACATAAAATAAAATAAAATAAAATAAAATAAATAAAATAAAAAATAAATAAAAAATAAATAAAATAAAAATAAAATAAAATAAAATTTTAAGAATTTAATTTTAAGAACATAAAATAAAATAAACAAAATAAAATAAATAAAAAAATGAATAAAATAAAATAAATAGAATAAAATAAAATTTTAAGAATACAATTATAAGAACATAAAATAAAATAAAATAAATAAAATAAAATAAAAAATAAATAAAAAATAAATAAAATAAAATAAATTAAATAAAATATAATTTTAAGAATTTAATTTTAAGAACATAAAATAAAATAAAATAAATAAAATAAAAATTAAATAAAATAGAAAATAAATAAATAATATAAAATAAATAAAATAAAATACAATTTTAAGAATATAATTTTAAGAAGATAAAATTTACAGATGACACTATGTTGATAGCATTCACCCAAAGGAAACTATATAAGAACCTACAGAAGGTGATTATGAAACTCGAGAAAGGACTAAATATCAATTGTAAGAAAACACAATAGGAACGATCTAAGTTGACCAAATAAAGAAGTGGTAGGAGGTATCTTTTCAGTAGCAGTAACAACTTCGAATTAGAGGCACCAGAATCAAGCTAGTACAAAAATCTAAAAATCTAGGAATTGTTTCAGCAGAGGACGGAATATATGACACCGTGATCCGAATACGAAATCGAATAGCAAAAAAATTTTCCAAAATTTAAACCAAGTATTAAGAATTTACACTATTTACATTGTTCAAAACAGTTGTCTTCAATTTCGTTGCTATATTCACGTTTCGGCCGTTTTACGCACCGGCCTTCTTCAGATGATTGGAATTTCGAACTGAAACCTTTATTTCGTCCACCACGGTAGATTGTTCCAGTTCCACGTGCCATGCCTCTTCCATATTTTCCAGTATCAGTTATCTTTATCTAGACTCGCCATGTTTTGTTCACCTCTGATGGAGCCAGGTATTGAATTCGCAACACGTTCTTAGTGAATATGGCAACGAAGATGAGAACATTCCGTACAGTGGAAATAGTGTAAATAATTACAATAGCTCATCTCAGAAATATAGACAGATCCTGAAAAAGGCCGCATCGTACAACGGCTGAAACGTTGTGAATATGACAACGAAGATGAGGAGAACAGTGTAAATAGTGTAAATAATTACAATAGCTCATCTCAGAAATATAGACAGATCCTGAAAAAAAGCATCGTACAATGCCGAAACATCCTGAATATGGCAACGAAGAAGAGGAGAACAGTCCGAACAATGTAAATATTTTAAATAATTATAATAGCTCATCTCAGTAATGTAGACAGATATTATTTAAATTTAAAATATTGTAATAAAGAGAGCAACACTGTCGTTCGAATATGATTAGTCATTTTGGGGATTTGACTTAGAAAATATGCAAGCTGTTTTCAATACAAGTTACGGATGATTTGAATATCATGAGAGAATGTTACTTTCGTGATTTAGAACTGATGCATTTTTTTTACCATTTCACCGCAGGAAAGGCAATAAAGCGCCTAAGACGCAAGGGCAAAGAATACAAGAAAAAGAAATATAACCATAGAATTTACAAATATTTTGACCATTAATGGTGAACAGAAAGGTAACTTTCCTCCTTACGTAGATCAGATAATTCGTAACCCACCTAGAAAAAGCTGAAGTAGTCATTGATGGCCTTGTCCCACTCTTATCACTTCCCACACCTGTCTCCTACCGATTACGACTTTTTTCTTCTGGCCTTGGGTCTATATAGGCACCAGAGGCTGTACACCAATGTGGACGATGGTTTGCCAATTTCCGTCACCGTTTTTTTTTTCTAAAAAATAACAGGTTTTTGGCACTAAGTCTGTACGTACCCAACTCGGTTTGTTTGCTAAATATGCAAATCAAGGTTGGTATCGTCGGTAATAATAAAGGTAGATAGATGGATAAAATTAGACTGAAATAGATAGATGTGAACAGAAAGAAAGAAAGAAAGAAAGAAAGAAAGAAAGAAAGAAAAAAAAATTAGACATAGATAGATAGATAGATAGATAAACTTAGACTGAGATTGATAGCTGTGGACAGTGAGATTGACGATAGATAAAATTAGACTGAAATAGATAGATGTGAACAGATAGATAGAAAGAAAGAAAGAATTAGACATAGATAGATAGATAGATAGATAGATAGATAGATAGATAAGATAGATAGAAGATAGATAGAGATAGATAGATGATGGAGAATAAAATTAGACTGAGATAGATAGATTTTGGACGATTTTCGTCACCATTTTCTAACAGTTTTCGGCACTCAATCTGTATGCGGACTTTCTAAGCGTTAACTTATATATGGCACGAGGCCCTGCAGTATAGTACACCCAATGAGGATCGAACTCACTATACAATCATAATCAATCTAGCGAGACAAGCTTTCAAACAATTACACTACGTCGGAGTAGCCTACTCAGTGTGCATGCAAATCAAGATTGCTATTGTCGGTAATAATGCAATCTTTATTTACAAATAGAATAACTGTTGTATACGTGGATGCTTGTATCGAATGACCAAAAGAAAACAGAAACGTTTGCTTTCAGGATGGAACTCTGATCCCTATGCAAACATTTCTTCTGTTCTTCTTTGTGATTGTACTTCATTGATATTCTTAGCAGAATTCTTTACCGAATAAAGAACTGGTAGAAGTTATCTTCCCAGTAGCAGTGACAATAGGCAACAATACGAAATCCAAATCTTTAACTGTCTTCGATCGCCTATCTTAAATAACAGTGGGAAATTATATCACTAAGTCTCTCTCTCTCTCTCTCTCTCTCTCTCTCTCTCTCTCTCTCTCTCTCTCTCTCTCGTTCATTTTGAAAGACTGATTGTTAAAATTTGGCTCAGATTAGTATCAGATCAATGTTTATTTGAGCTGCGTTCATTTGGTAGGGTTTGTTTAATGCTACGCAAGATCCACTGGCAGAACTCTTGATAAGAATGGTTATGTTGTACCAATTTAGTTAATCAGTAGACAAATAAATGGTTTCCTCACAGTTCAAACAGCCCCCAGAAGCATATATGGAAAATCAGCAAATATACAGACAAGAAAAGGTGGTTCCAATAACTTGAACCGATTTTAATGTGAATTAAGTTTAAGCTCCTAATGAATTTTTATCCTTTTCTTTCAGATTTGGAAGACATTTGGGCGATATTATTTTTCACACATAATTGTCATGACTTAAATAACATTGCCTGTATCTATCTAACTAGTTAGCTATCTACCTATCTGTCTCATTGTTCATATCTATCTATCTCTCTCTCTCTCTCTCTCTATATATATATATATGTGTGTGTGTGTGTGTGTGTGTGTGTGTGTGTGTGTGTATCTATCTATCTCATTGTTCATGTCTATCTGTTTCATTGTTCCTTTCTATTTGGTCTACCTTATATTTCATATCTATCTTATTGTTCAAATCACAACTATCTATTTATCTGTCTTCCTATCCATCTATCTCATTGTTGATATTTCTCTCATTTTGTTCATATCTTTTTAATTCTATTCATGTCTATGTATCTCACTGTTCATATCTATCTATCTATCTATCTATCTATCTATCTATCTATTTACCAATGTCCGTTCAATATCTATCTATTTATCTTTCTATCTATCTATCTATCTATCTATCTATCTATCTATCTATCTATCTATCACTGTCCGTTCAATATCTATCTATCTATCTATCTATCTATCTATCTATCTATCTATCTATTTACCAATGTCCGTCCAATATCTATCTATTTATCTTTCTATATCTATCTATTTATCTATCTATCTATCTATCATATATCTATCTATCTATCTATTTATCAATGTCCGTTCAATATCTATCTATCTATCTATCTATCTATCTATCTATTTATCATCTATCTATCTATATCACAGTATCTATCTATTTATCTTCTATCTATCTATCTATATATATCTATCTATATATCTATCATCTATTCACTGTCCGTTCAATATCTATCTATCTATCTATCTATCTATCTATCTATTTACCAATGTCCGTTCAATATCTATCTATATATCTATTCATCTATATATCTATCTATAATTCATTAATATTTATCACTGTCCGTTCAATATCTATATTCATCTATCTATCTATCTATCTATTTACCAATGTGGCAATATCTATCTATTTTCTTTTAATGTATTAAACATATTGAAATTATCTATGTAATATCAAATGATTGATTAATTCGTTTTCTACGGTTTATCAACCCTTTCTAGGTTATTTGAAATGCCAAATGAAAATTCACGGTTTACATTGCCAGAAAATTCTTTAAGAATTTGTTTTATTTGGGAGGATAATAATGATTTAGCAATACAAGTCTTACTAATTAATCCATAGCTGGGGGAGAAGATTCATACACCTCCAAATGGTGTAAGTAAATATAACGTACCCAAATGGAATTGAAACTCGGCTCTCTGATTAACTCCGAGCCGTTATTAATTCTCAGCCATTATTCATTACTATCTATCCCATTCTGTTCATATCGATCTCATTCTGTTCATATCTATCTACCTATCTATTGATTTATTGTAATCTATCTATCTCATTCAGTTTATATCCCTTCAGTTCGATTTGTCTATTTCAGTATGACTCTATGTATATATATGATCATATCTATACTGACATCATTTCTATCAATTATTTGATATTCGCAAAGGATGAATGCGCGATAAAATGAGAAAAAGAACAAATAAAAAAGGGCAAAGAACGAAGCCTATTTTGCACCGTCTCTATCAACTCCGGCGTCTGTGAGATTTTGCAAATTCTTAAGACGGTTAATATATTTATACATGTACGAAGTGTGTTTGATAGTTAGATTATTTAGAGTCAGGTGTCTAAGGAGATTAAATTGGTTTATACCTTGATCTGCGTGTCTGTCTCTCCACATAAGTGTGCATTTGACTTTCACGTGTATCCAGGATGAAATCCAACTTTGATTAATTAACTGTCAGCGATCGGAAGGAGACGTTAAAAGGAGTTATGCTGACCCAACTGGTGCAATGCCAAGACATCAAGAAGGGTCAGTTTATGTTTCATGCCAACAAAAACGAAGCAAGCGAGTTTAAATGCCAGAAAAAAAACTAGAAAGAAAGAAAGAAAGAAAGAATTAGACAAAGAAAGAAAGAAAGAAAGAATTAGAAAGAAAGAAAGAATTAGATATAGAAAGAAAGAAAAAAAGGAAGAAATAAAGAATTAGACCAAAAAAAGAAAGAAAGAACGAAAGAAAGAAAGAAAGAAAGAAAGAAAGAAAGAAAGAATTAGATAGATAGATAGATAGATAGATAGATAGATATTAAATTAAAGTTGCAGTCAACGGTCTCTCTTCTAGATATTTTTGTATTATCACATGTCTCACCCAGGGGCTCTATCAATGGACCTACATTGTTATTAATTTTCATAACTGCTCTTCCTGGTGACATCATTTCTCTACTTAATATCTATGCTGATGACACAACCATCTAATCCTCTCCCGATAGTAAATCTGACCAGTTCGATAAGATCAATTTCACAGATGATCTCAAAAATGACTTAGAATCTGCCGTTAACTTGGGCAGGGAATGGCTTAAGTTTACCGCATCTCAAACGAAACTTCTTTGTATTAATCATCTGAGAGACCCATTTCTACCTCCCGCTCAGCACGGCTGAGCCTAACCTACTTGGGATAACATTTTCGGCTCACATGAAATTGAAAGAATTTATTGAATCCAATCCTCGGCCTGCTGCTAAGAATGTTGGTTCATTGTGTCGTTCTAGACAATGTTCCTCGACAAAATCTATCGAACATATTTATAAGTTTACTATTCGTCCAAGCTTAGAATATTACTGTAACATATGGTTCGATGCTCCTGAAATTCTTGATATAATTCCAAGAAGAATCATCAATATTATTGGTCCAGACATGGTTTCTCGGCTTCAGTCACTTTCCTACTGCCATAATGTAGCTGCCCTGTGCCTTTTCTATAAATACTTTCATGGTAATTGTTCGGTTAAACTCTGATGAATTTAAGCGCTGTACTTGATTGGCGGAAAGGTCTCATCAATTCACAATTGAATTGGCCACCGTAAGTTCTATGTTAACAGTTTCTTTTCTCGCACTTCTCCTTTGTGGAACTCGCTTCTGATTTCATGTTTTCCAGCCAAATTTGATCTTCAAAAATTTTAATTTAATGTCAATCGCTATCTACTGTCTTCTTGATTACTCTTCTATTGCTGTCTCTCCTTAATGTTTCTCTTTTCCGTATTCTTTCACACTCAGTAACTCCTTGTGTCTTAGTGGCTTTACCGCCTTGCATGGGGGTGAAATGATTAGAGATAGATAGAAAGAGAGAGAGAGAGAGAAAGAGTGAGCTCATTAATCGATAGATAGATAGATAGATAAAAAAAGAGAAAATGAATTGACTGAATACATAGATAGATAGATAGATAGATAGATAGATAGATAGATAGATAGATAGATAGATATAGAAAAAGTGTGAGATCATGGATCGATAGACAGAAAGAAAGAGATAATGAATCGACTGAAATAGATAGATAGATAGATAGATAGATAGATAGAGAGAGAGAGAGAGAGAGAAAGAGTGAGATCATGAATTGACAGACAGAAAGAAAAAAATTCATACACAGATGAAAAGAATACTTGAGGCAATAGAAATCTTGTTCTTGCCGTGGCGTGTAAGCAAGAAAAAGTCTTAAGGAAAATGAAAACAAAAAATACACTTTTACTCAGGATCAGCAAATTGTATTTCTTACTTTAAAAAATACCAAAATATCTCATTTTAAGATTTTTGTAAAGAAATGCAGCTTGATCCCAATCTTTTTGCCTGTAATATAGGTGATGATGACTCTCACCAACTTCCTGTTCTTTTTTGTTGTTTTTTGTTTTGTTTTGTTTTTTTGTTTTTTTCTTGCTCTATTATTTTCCTTTACCCTTCCTCTTTGCTCCTGTTGGAGCATCATTTTAACAAAATCTCTCCTTGCTTCTCTTGCGTTAAATATATCATGTGGTCGTTTAATTCTCCAGGCTCTCTTTCCTCATTATATGTCCAAAAAAATTTCCTCTTTCTCTTTCTGATTGTAAGTATACGTTCCCTTTTCCTCATCGCTGGCATTTTCTGCCTATGATATTCACAGCATTCGTTTTTAGATCCAAATTTCTCACGCTTCAGGTCTCTTCTGTATTTGATATTGGGGTTTATAGACATATCAAGTTGAAATTGGACGATGACCCAAGCTAAGTAGCGTTGAGCCTGGCCAGTTCATAAACGGGTAAACGCTTGGGAATACCAGATGCAGTAAGCCTGCATGCGCGGGTGGTGTAATGAATGATGGCTGAGAATTAATAACGACTCGGAGTTAATCAGAGAGCCGAGTTTCAATTCCATTTGGGTACGTTATATTTACTTACGCGCAAATACCATTGGGAGGGGTATGAATCTTCTCCCCCAGCTATGGATTAATAAGACTTGTATTGCTAAATCATTATTATCCTCCCAAATAAAACAAATTCTTACGATGTAAAGATATTTTCTGGCTTCAAATAACCATCAAAGTGTTGATAAATCGTAGAAAATGAATCAATCAAT